CCATTCAGTTGTAAAGGATAAGTTTTAAAATACTGACTTTTTTTTCAGAAAAATTCTTGTTATAATTCATCTGAATTTAAATGAAAGCGATTAAAATCGATTGGCACCAAAAGTGAAAGTCATTCACCAAAAGTAGGAAACTCTAAAGTTAGGTTTATAATAGTAATTAGCTGAAGACAAGATAATTATTAATTATGTTAAAATAGTTAGTCATTACATCACGGTTATATTTGAAATGAATCCCATGAATAGAAACATTGGGGAAGACGTGATATTCGAACATTTCTGACGATGATGATATAAAAATCCAACAATCTAATGACAACAAAATTAAATCAACCATTCCTACAAGAAACGGCATATTCACACCAAGAACACACTGCACTTACTTGTCCGTTGCTGTTTTGTATCCTTAGCAACCTCTTCATTATTATTTGTGATGGATACCTCAAACGTATACTGTCTTCCTGGGGTTAGATCAGTATAAGATAATTCCAGGTCCATGTCAGCAGACCGTGTCAAGAGTGTGTATTCACCCTGGTCACCATCAGCCGGGCTGTACGATATCAAATAAAGTTGAAAATCTTCGGTGGCTGCACCCCAAATAATGGTGATGCTGTTGGTGTTCACCTCTTTAAAGATTATTTCAGCTTGTGCGGCAGATTCTGCAGTGGAAGATATGTCAATAATAACATACATGATATGATAAATGAACTGAATGGCATGACCATTATGTGCTGCTTGTATTAACACTTGTCATACACTTGCACCAAGGATGTTAGATCTTCTGTTAAAATAAAATACTACACAACACAAATCATTATAACTGGTATTGAATGTTTTAGAGTGTTTAAAAAGCAATTTCCATCATGATGTTTTTCTGCAAGATTTAATTTATCTGCAACATTGCCCTCTGACCTGACCTGACCTGACAGGTCAAGTCAACCAACAAGAATACTGAATGTCTACAGTTCCGAGGCAATTGTCATTAGTACAAGTTTGAAACCTGCGTTTCTTTGCAATATATGTCTGTTAGCACATACAATTTTTTTAAATTCTTTTTAGCATTTACTTCATGTAGATATTCAACCCGCCACATGTGTACTTGTAATTCATGAAGAGTGTGCTTTCTACAAACATGCATTGATGGGTCATAGTTCAAATAAACAATTCCAAATGCAAACCTGTGGTGTACGTTAACACATAAGGGTCACTTTGTGTTTGGCTGTCTCCAGTTCCTGACAATGTAACAGCTGTGATGGCATACTCTCTACTTGGTGTAAGTCCATTCAACGTAATCTCATAATCATCAACATCAGGGTCCACCACAGTCAGCAAGATTGGGGATACAGTGGTACCATCCGGAGGGTTGTAAGTGACCTCAAACGCACTGTAGTTACCACTAGGAGCGAACATGAGAAACGTAATAAAAGATGGTCCAGATGAAGCTCCATTGACAATAATCTGGGACACATCATTTGGTTCTGAGAAAAAAATAAAAGAAAATTAATTCATTTTACTACAGAATCATTACATAGACACAGTCACTCTACTAGGAGAGTGACTGTGCATAGACACAGTCATGAAATATAACTGCAATACTTAAGTATAGGCAACACACATTCAATTGATTATCAATGAGTGAATACATAGGGACAAAATCAATTGACAAGGAAGCATAATTTATCATAATCAAATTTACTCCACAAGACTTTTTGTACTAATTCCCATCAAATATCCAAGGTAATTTCCAATCAATTATCATTAAGTATATTTATGCACTGAAAAATTCAAATATCCACTTGTAGAATATACTTAGACCAATCAACTTTTCAACATATTCTTACTAATAACACAAATTTAAAAATTACATACTGACGTTACTCTGAAAATAATGTCTACCATGGATGGCAATAGAAGTAAAAAGCTTCCATGTGCCTACTTTGATGACGCGTGCCTAACTATGATGACACGTGCCTAACTATGATGACACGTGCCTAACTATGATGACACGTGCCTAACTATGATGACACGTGCCTAACTATGATGACACGTGCCTAACTATGATGACACGTGCCCAACTATGATGACACGTGCCCAACTATGATGACACGTGCCCAACTATGATGACACGTGCCCAACTATGATGACACGTGCCCAACTATGATGACACGTGCCCAACTATGATGACACGTGCCCAACTATGATGACGCGTGCCCAACTATGATGACGCGTGCCCAACTATGATGACGCGTGCCTAACTATGATGA